TCTCCTCCTTTTCCTCCTTCTCCTTCTTCTTTTTTACAATTTTGTTCTTTAATCCTGGCTCTAAGACTGAAATTCAGGGACTGTACTCTTGCTAGGGTTATTTCCTCTACCACTTGAGCCATGCCTCCAGGCTGGATTTTTTGCTGCTTAATTGAAGACAGGGTCTGTCAGAGTTTTGGTGGCTCAGTGGTAGAGCGCTTGCCTTGCATGCCTGAGGCCCTGGGTTCGATTCCTCAGCACCACATAAACAAAAAGAAAAAAGCCAGAAGTGGTACTGTGGCTCAAGTGGTAGAGCACTAGCCTTGAGCTAAAGAGCTGAGGGACAGTGCCCAGGCCCAGAGTTCAGGCCCCACAACTGGACCCCCCCAAAAAAAAAAGTTTTCTGCCTAGGCTGACTTCACCTCCTGATTAGCTAGGATTATAGGCTAGAGACACCAGCATGTAGCTCAGCATTTCAAATTCTTAACAGCATGAGTAAACTTGGACTCATTTGCAGTTTACGTAAATGAATTCATGCAAAGCCTACTGTTCTTTGTTTCACTTGACCTTCAGCATTTCACTTGGCTTTGATTTCCCTCCCTCCAGGACTACAATAATACTGTGGAGGTAGAACCTATCTAAGTTAAAAATGTATTTATTATCCCAAGTAATTTGAGATGAAACAAACAAAAAAGCTAATAGACGGATGCTTTATTTCTCATGGGGCATCCAGCGAAAGAAATCTCAAATGAGTTAAATTTTAGATAATTTAAGTTTACTACAAAAAACTGGCATTCTAGTTTTTCACTTTACAGTACTGTTTCAATAAATGCATTTTACATATTACTGCCCTACAAAACAGAAAGTTCAGTAGCAACTTTACTCTTTTGAGATGTATTTGTGATAATACACTGATGCTGTTAGCACCTATTGGAATATATAGGTCACATTAAATACATAAGCAGAAGTTTTAAAGTAGTATTATATATCTTATATCCTTCTGAGATGACAGGCAGGTAAAGAAAACAAATGATATAAATAAAGCATTCACATTCTCTTGGGTGTTGAGTTTCTCCAACTTCTTAATACCTGGCTCTTCACATACATAGAGATCAGTGTGGAGTTTCTTTCTGACTTTAATAGGTTTTTGGTTTGTTCAAAGTAGTTTTTAATCCATAATACCAAACTCTGCAATAAGACAAAAGCTTTTTTTAACTCAGCATTTATCTTAATGATTGATGGCAAAATAAGTAATATTTCTGAATCAAGCAAAAACAATTTGATAAGAAATTTGTTTGACCATAATTCTGATGTTTTTTTTCCCCTTAAGCCAAGTCATTTTTGATCACTTTGGAAGAGAGATAATTCTTCTGAAATTGAAAAATTAGCTTTGTAGGTTACTTGCATGTCAAACTGTTATTTGGAATTCCTAAATAAGAAAATTCAATAAATGAGAGAAATAAAATTTGTGGGATCAAGGAAAAAAAAACAAATACACATATGATGATGTATATGGATTTGTAAAGACTAAAGATAGCAAGATAATTGAAGATAGTATTCTAAAGGAATATTAATTTTCAATCCTTGTTTCTAGATGATAGTCTTGAATGTTTTGAAGTTTATTCCAGACCATGATGTCATTTATTTTTGTTCTGAATGTTAATTTTAGGTCTAAAAGACAAGTCAAAGGAATTATTAAATTGTACTAACAATTCGATGAAATTCATTATTTTGTTGAATTAATGTAAGCTAATAAAATTTTCTTAAAAAGAATTTGCAACAATGAGAAGTACAAGTTGTCATGTCGAAAACGAGCTTTACAACGTTGGTTGGGGGGGAAGAGGGGGAGGATTGGGTGGAGGAGGATTGGGGGGGGAGGCTGGGAAGGGATGTGAAGGGTAAACCAAGGAGGAGGCTGCAATGCTTGATAAGAAATGTATGCATTATCCTGCCCATGTAATTGTAACCCCTCTGTACAGTATGTTCATAAAAAAATATTTCAAATAAAAAAAAGAATTTGATGATGGCATATATTTAGCAAGTATAAGATGTTGGGTTCAATCCTCAATAGACAAAATTAGCATTTTGAGGTCAGGCTAAAAATATTGAATATTGAATTATAGTTGGGATTTATTTGTGTTTTACTAACATATTTCAAACAAATAAAGACCACATATAAAACTCAAATCCTCCACTCTATTGTACATTATAGTTAGGACACATTTTAGCAGAAAATTTTCTGGCACATCAATTCCATTATTTTAATCAGGTGTCCTTTAAAACACACTGTAGTTTACAACATATATTTAAGGAAATTAACACCTCAAAGCTTTACTTAGACTTTTCTATGCTAAACTATTACATTATACATTTCTTCTGTATGTAGTTTAAATGTTATAGTATTATTTAATGGATAGAAGGCATATTTAGAAAAACAAATTTTAAGTGCATGTAATAGGCCATTAAAATGTACTTCAGGAAGAAAAATTTGGTAATGGAAATATTTAAGACAGGAAAGTATAAGAAAAACAAAATAATACAAAAATTGATGAATGCATGGTAAATGGAAATGGTAATGATAAGAAATCTGAATTTTAAAATAAGAGAAACTAAAATGCTAGATAGTAATAATAGATATTTTTAATTATGTAATTTTAAGATATAACCTCAGCAAAGGGGTAGAGACATTAAACTAGAGAAATAATATAGGTTAAATTTTTTAAAGACTAGAAAAATGAAACAACAATATATAGAGAGGGAATACCTATGAAAAATAAAATATTCTGTGATTATCAATAATCACATTAATTACAGACTTTTTTTTACATTCTTTGCTGATTCTTTTCTTTTAACTGTTATTGCAAAGGTGATGTACATAGGGGTTACAGTTACATAAGTCAGATAAAGAGTACATTTTTAATTTTTTTTCCTCATTCTCTCCCACTTTTCCCCTCCCATCCCCATGCACAGGTTGTATAGTTCATTTCCAGCATACTGTTGAGTGAGTACCACTGCAACATTTGTTTACCTTTTGTCCCTCCATTTCTGTGCCTCTCTTATCCTCGCAAAGATAGGTAAACAAACAAACAAAACAAAAGGAAAAGAAAACAAAAGCTAAATTCAATTACATAACATTTATGAAAATGATACCTAAAACATAAGGTCTAGGAGGGTAAAAGAGTAAAAGAATATAAAAGGTATAGAAGGCAATTAGAAACAGTGAGAGCTGGATATTGTGGTGCCTGCCTTTGTTCGCCTATTTTGTTTTCTCTTTCTCAACACCTAGGATGCCTGTCCTTCTCAGTCTTTCTTGAAGTTACATTGATGATTAGTTATTTTATAACAGTGATTTGTAAGCCAAAGTAAAAAACAGGCTTTCTAAGCCTGATGCCCAAAATTGTCCATAAGATTTTATGATCACTTTTTATTTTGGGTATTAGTCATCATTGCTGTGTAGACTAGCTCACCCTCTCTAATACACAAAGTGAGAGCTTGAAATCTCCACAATTGTGTAGCAATGACATAATGAAGTAAGGTCAGGTCTGGCCAGCGCCATATTGTCCACATGATGGATGGTAGGGTCTGGCATCTTGTCTTCAATCTAGTGGAGGGAAACACCCCGGTGATCACTGCCTCCCAGGCATGCCCAGCTCCCTGGAGGCAGGGGTGGGCACTTGTCTAATAGGTTACTGAATCTGTTAGTCTAGTGCCCGGGACTGGGGAATTTCCTGTGGACCTACCCTCCCTGCTCGGACCCTATTTAGGTCTGGACCAGCCCATCCTCCATTTTGCCATGCCATGTGTGTCTCTGAGATCTTGTCCTGTGTCCCTTCTCCTGGCTCATCTCCATTTATCATTGAGTCCCAGTTCAGCTCTCCATTGGAGCTGAATTGGTTTGTTAGTATTGTTTTTGTTCTTTCTTCTCTAGCTTGTTTCCTAGCTGTGTTATATGTATTTGGGGCCTGCAGGCCTTTGTAACAATGGGCTCCTTGCAGACTGCTAGTGTGTAATAAAGACTCCAATATTCAGTCCTCCAGAATGTGGTTTCTGTAATTACAAAATTACAACATTCTGTAATTACAAAATTGTTGGTTGGAACTAGATACCAGTGGCTCACTCACACCTGTAATCTTAGCTACTTAGGAAGCTGAGCCTGAGGATAATGATTTGAAGCTAACCCAGGCAGAACAAATGGTCTCTAGTAGACCAGTTTTGTTTTTTGTTTTTGTTTTTTAAAATCTGGGACAGGGGGCATGGCTCAAGAGGTAGAATGTAAGTCATGAGCAAAAAAACTAAGTGAGATCCTGAGGCGTTGAGTTCAAGTCCTAGTACTGGTACACATGCATACGCATGCATACACACACACAATTTGTTAGCTAGAGCTGAACTGGTGTTTTGAGAGACTACTGTGGGCACATATACTTGTTTCATAAAAGAAGAACTTAAAAAGCAATTAGTAAGCATCCAGATTAAGACTTAAAATCATAGAGTAAAACAGCTAATTATAGAATGGAAAAAAGAACATTAAACGTTACTTCTTTGAAAAAGAGAAATGTTTAGAGAGGAGAAATGTTTGAAAGCATCTCCGGTTAACACTGCCTAGGAAAAATAAGAAAGATATAATCTGAGTTAGTAATGTGAAGGGAACACACAAGAAGAAAGAAACATAGCAGTGATTAAAGAACTGTAGGAAAATAATTTGAGTAATGTTAAAAACTCCTTACTTGAGTACTGGGGTCTCACATTTGTAATAATAGCTACTGGGAAGGATGAGATCTGAAGATCAAATTTCAAAATCAGCAGGGCAGAAAAATCTGAGAGACCAAGCTCCAATTAACAACAAAAAAGCTGGAAGAGGAGGAATGCCTCAGGTGATAGAGTGCCAATCTTGAGAAGAAAAGCTAAACAAGAGCCCACAGCCATGAGTTCAAATCTCAATACCAGCACCAAAAAAGAAAAATGCAGTTGGGAAATTTCTCACATAAAACAATTAGCAGCCTTAATTCTTTAATGGAAAATATAAGTAAACCCATGAAATTTCACTAATTAAATCAACAATTTAAAGTCTCTCTCTCTCTCTCTTTCCCTCTCTCTCTCTCTCTCTCTCTCTCACACACACACACACAAGCACAAATACCAGACCAAAGATTTTTGCAGTCAAGTTTGTCATTCTCAAAACATATTTTTATCCTTCTTAAATCATGTCAAGAAAATTCTAAACCACTTTCTATTATAAACTTAAAGGCAAAAAAAATCATAGATCACAGAGTTCTAAAATGTGTATCAGTTATACATACCAGGCTAAGACAAGTTTATACCAGAAAAGGATATTTTACTAGGAAGATGGTGAACTATTGGAATATTTATGAAATCTACATTGTTAACTGGGAAAAAACAAATTACGAAGTTGTTTATAGAAAAATGTATGAATCTATTAAAACATATTTAAAGCAAGTTTTTTTGTTTTTGTTTTTGCAAACAGAAATAGAGCAATTTCTTAAACTAATTAAGATACAGGGTCAGAAGTTTCCAGGACAGAGCCAAACATATTAAGAAGAATGTTTGTTTAATCCCATTTGCAGTTTTACTGTTGGCCTTCATCAAATATGTACTAATCATACAGCAAATCCTACGAGTATATAAGACCCTGTACCTGTAAGGGTTTATAAATAAGTTTTTAAATAAGGGAAATATTAAGATAGCAAATTGGAAATATAGACTCTGTAATAGAAACTTGAACTAGCTTAAGTGAAATTAACCCAGCAACTTGGGCATTAGATATTTCTTGATTAAGATAAGAAAAAATATGTATAAGCCAAATGTTGATGCCTCATGGCTGCAATCCTAGCTAGTCAGGAGGATGCAATATGAAGATTGTGGTTCCAAGCTAGTCAGGGTAGGAATCTTGCAGATTCTTATTAACCTTCATCTCCAATTAACCAGCAGTAATATGGCTCATGAGGTAGAGTGCCAGCCTTGAGTAAAAAAGAAAGTCAAAGTCCAATGCTATGAATTCAACCCCTAGTTAAAGCAGGTTTTGGACTGCAACTAAAATGGACTTTAATGGATAAATTAACAAGTTGTCATGTGTTAATTTTATAATTGATTTGTATGTACACCAGAAATCACACAAAATCCATTTAACATTGCAGTGGAAACTAAAATCAATTCAACCGGTTAGAAAATTAGCTAAGAAAAGCAATAATTTTATAAATAATAAAAATAGATGGCAGAAGGTAGGATTAACTACAAAACCATGTATAGCCAAAATAAAAGATTTTAATACATTTTCTGGACTCAATATGTAACAATACATAACATGCATGAGTAAATATGATAAAACAAAAGATCAGTACATTGACTTAAGTGGAATGTTAAATTAGGTTTGTGTATTGGGCTAGCCAAGATAATAAATTTCCTATTTTGAGTTGTATGTACAATATAATTCTTATCATAATCATGATGCCAACAAAGCTTTTGCTTATGTTTCATGTGTGGGCTGATAGACAAACTTTTCCTGAAAATCTTCAAAGGCTAACTGGTGCCAGGACTTTCTAAAATAAAGTTCAAATCATTTTATTCCATCAAAATTAAGAACCTTTGGCTTAAACTAAACAAGCTACAAATCAAAAACAAAATGAATATGAGTAGAAAGGCAGAATGTTGAAAAACTACAAAAGACTGTACAATTTTAAAAATATGGTAACAAAACTCAGTTGTCATATTAGGCCACCAAAAAATGGAAATAAATTAAAACCCCTATAAGGTGGAGGAAACACTTACATAATCATGTGATTGTACTTGCCTTTGAATGATCTCATGCTAGATGTCCCACAGTGCCCACAAATGGACCACAAAGGAGTCACTTTACATAAGAACTCATGAGTAGCAACTGTTCTTGAAAGAACACACATTTCTGTTCAGGGAATTTGAGCCACTCCAAAGGATAATGACTTGCAGGGGTTTTTAGATCAGCCACATCTGTTCTGAAATAAAATGCGTTTTCCTGTTTCTGAACTGGCTAACCCTTAACCCCATTAGACTTAACACTGTAAAGATGATTCCTCTTTCACTTGCTGTGTAACAGTCAGACCATTGTGTTTATTCTGTCCCATGGAACTCATCGCAATTTTATTGTTCCCTTTTGGTGAGCAAAAAAGAAGGAAGATGCAAAAGAAAACAAGGGTATTCTAGGTTTGAAGGTCTGCTTCATATGTTAGGTCCACACAGACACCTGTGGCAAATAAATGTCTCTAACATAACAGCACCTTTCCAAGATGGAGAATCTGTTGTGTTTTTCTCTTCAACCACCCCTTTCATTGTTCTGCTGTCTGAGTCTTCACTGTGTAAAGGGAAAGAAAGCTGGTCTGCAGCTCACGGAAGCCCCTGACTGCCTGAGAGGCTGGCACACCCTGCATTGTGAGCTCCTAGGCTTTATGCTTAGACTACCCTAAAAGAGTTTCTTTCTCTGAAGTCTTATGCGAAAATATAACACAGATTTGGGGGGGAAATATGAAAGAAAGGAGTAAAATAAAGGTTTATAGATCTAAAATAAAGTCAAGGAGAAACCAGAAACGGGAAGGGAATGAATGGGTGGGAAAAATCACACATTACATATGAAATTAGAACAAGGTATGTGCAAAATAAAAACAGCTATCGTTTATTCTTTTCCCTATAGATTCCTTTGGCATAAGTAATGAAATCTACAGAGAAAAACAGCAACCACCCCGACCCTAGATTGATACCCCCAGATCTTACCTGTGAGTAGACGAGGTTTTGCCAGTGTTGTGCAGCAGGATAATTGCCACTGGGAAATCTCGCGAGGCTCGCCTGCAGAATGGCCGGGCTTCTCATTAAAGACTTCACGTCAAGCTGCAGGAATTTGTCAGGGTGGTTGTTATTGGGCAAAACAGAAAGGTCCATGTCTCCTTTCGTCTGTGGTGGAAACAAAGCAGGCGAAACTGCTTCTGTCACACTCTTCCATTATTAATGAACCTGAAGATGCTCCAACTGGCATCTGAAACCAGGTCTCTCAGTTGCACACAAAAGGACAGATCAAAACACAGGAATAAAGCAGCAAAAGCAGAACACTGTCCTATTTACACAACACAAAGAAACCATACGCGAATGGGGAAAATGGGGCTACGCTGATTAAAATGAACAGGGCTGCAAGGTCAGATGCGTCTCTCCATGCAGGCACAAACAGCCACGCTATGGGAGTTACTGTCTGTGTAAAGGCTGTCACGACTATCGTGTCATAGCTCATCACTTGCAGCATGGGATGGAGTCACCTGTGGAGAGCCACTGCCTGGGTTCGCTCCTTCTGAATATTCCTGAACTCAGGTAGCTGCCGCCCTGCTCACACAGTCTTACATGTGATACGTAGCATCCCATTTCTTCTCGTGGTTTGACTCCCCGAGTCTTGAGGCCATGTGAAATCTAAACAGACTAAGGTTCAGCTTGTTCTGAATGGAGAAATTGTGAGAATTTCCTTTATAGTCAAACCTATTGTCTAGACTCAGGAGCTACAAGAGGTGCCTTGGTCTCTGTTTCTAGAATATGATCTATAATGTCTGGTGTTCCCATGGCATGTTTGAAACCGAAGGAAAACAAATGCTGCCAGGTTTGGATGATTGCTGTTGTTAAGTGAACCCAGCTACAGTTGAGAGAGCTGAGGTGTGGCTATGGCTGTGGACAGCATGCGAGCCAGGAAGTGACAATGACTGTAATGAGCACTCCATCCTCCTAAGACACTCTGAGCAACCTACACCGTTCACTGGGAAAGTTTGGAATTCCATCTGGAGTAAGAGGAGAACTTCCCACTCATGAGAAGGCAAACAACAGATATATTAAACATAGGCTCCCCATCTCTGTAAGCTCCTCTGATTTAGCAGGAAGGCTTCTCTTCTGAGAGCAATGGAATTGCATGTGGGAATGTATCACTAGGTTTTAGGAGTCCAGTATGGTTTACAGGAATCAGCAATCAGGACATTCTTGAATCCTGCAAGCCACTGGAGAGTACTTATCTTCTTTATGACAAAAAGAATGAGGGGGCATCTTTTAAAAAAATCTATTCTACTTACAATTGTAAACTTAAGATTTTTTTAATAAAAAGTATTTGGATACAAACTTGCAATATTTAAACTACTTTTTGCATGGTTTTAAAATACATTTTGTGAAGAAAGTAATAAATACTTTACAATAAAAGTGAAGAACAAAATAATTAAACCACAATTGTTTCAAGAATCAAATGTACTAAATGTACATGCATGTGCTTGGTATTTTCTGGATTCTTTCTGGCTGCTGCCAGAATATGAACAAGTATTTTACTGACTGCTTGCTTTTCCTAAAATATTCTTTGGAGTATAACACATATCTTCAAGAAGATTTTAATTTGTCTTTGGCTCCCTATATTGGCAAGTGGAGACATGTAAGTTACATCTGAATATATTTGATTAGGGCTTTTCCTTAGCCAAAGTATGAGGTAGATGAACTGGGCCTTTAGATTTCCATAGGCATCTTAAAAAATACAATTTTATTGTTATTATTGTGTTATACAAAGAGGTTACTGTTTCATAAGGCAGGTAATAATTACATTTCTTTCTTTCCTTCACTTTCCTCCAGCTACCAACAAGTTGCATAGTTCATTTTCCACATAGTTTATTTTCTACTGCACATCATGCCTACATTTGTTCATCCTCCCTCCCTCCATTTCTGTGTGTCCCTTGCCCTCCCCCAAAAAGACAGAGAAAAGAATAAACAAAAAAGAAAAACAATCACCATCACTACCACCATGAACAAAAAAAATCTATATTTTCGTTTCCTGGAATTTGTTTCAATAAATATTTTAAATATTCAGAGATATTGCAAGTTTGGTTTCCTTCCCTAAGGGTATCCTTCTTTAGTCTCACTGTGCATCAGGGCCTATCGTGCTATATATTTTATCATGCCCCAGTGTATTTTAGATCCAGCTTCTGCCTATGAGAGAAAACAGGTGATTAGACATCATTTTGACTTCTTTGCTGTCCTACATGCTTTGGTCTATATACTGTGTCTCTGTCTGCAAGTATTGCCTCAGACTCTCCTTTTCCTCCCACAATCCTGTCTTCACTGTGAAAATCTTCAGGTCTCTTACTGCTTACTTCAGGTTTCTTACTGCTATCACTGCATGTATCCATTTGAATGAAACCAGGAATTTGAAATTTAACCTCCACCTTCCTGGATTGCCACCCACACCATTATCCACCAAACCCGACTTCTACTCCTGCCTGGGGACCTTGTTTCTCCCCCTGCTCCTGCCTGTTGACTACCTCCGGATCATGCTCGAAGGGCCCTGGCTGACATACAGCCTTCCATAAAACTGTTGGCCATTTTCCTTGGCAAATAACATTTTTCTTTCTATGAAACTTCCAATTGACTTTAAAAAATAGCTTTATTTCTTTAATTATCTTTGGTTTGAAACAGTCTATTGGATGGCCTATTCCGTATAAATCAAGTCTAAAGATAAAAATTAAACCCTTTTTTCAATAAATAATTGTTTCTGTTGTCTCTTTCAGTTTCTTTAGGGCACAAGTTTTGTTATGTCCAATTAAATTTGATGAAGAAAATGACTTGGTGCTCTGTATTTCTTTTCTTTTGAGAGTTTTATACTTATATAAATGAGCAAGATTAGTGTCTAATATGAATTTTTCATAATGTCTTCATCAAATTCACATAGCAAAATCATGATTATTGGATTAAATATGTGTTCCTTCTTTTCTATGGATAATTGACAAAGTATTAATGCTATTTTCTTTAAATATTTACTAGACCTCATTATTGGATTCATTCAGGCTTAGAATTTTCCCTGAGAAATGTTTTAAAATAAGATTCAGATTTCTTCAAGATTAGATCTCTCTCTCTGCTTTGGTTTTGTCAAATTGTATATTTCTACCAAACTATGTATTTTATTTTATTTAAATGTTAAAATTATATTTTATTCATGTGATATTTTCATACGTTTTGTAAGTATCATACTCTGTTGTGCTAATTTTTCCCTGTTCATATTTTTAAATTAATTTTATTTATTTATTTATTTTTGTTTACCGGGTATCAAGGAATTGAACCTAGGGCCTCATACATGCTAGGCAAACAGTCTACCATGAAGCCACATTCCTAGCCCCGCCCCCCCATTCTATAGGTTTTTTATTATTCACAATTGTCTGACTTAAACATTAAATAAGTACAAGGAAAATTAGAGACTTGACTCAAGTGGTGATACAGCAGTTGATACACTTGAGTGTAAGGCCCTTGTTCAAATCCCAGTACTGCTTCTCCCCAAATAATATGTAACATATATTTAGAGTATAATATGATATATTATACATATTATTACATAGAATGAACATATATATATATATATATTTATATAGAAAAAACAATCTGGTGAGAACTGTGGCTATTAGGGGCTTCTCAACCCTTGATGTGAAAGTATCCATTTTCCATTTGCTATTTCCTTACAGAATTTTTTTTTTGTTCGGTCGTGGGGCTTGAACTCTGGGCTTGGGCACTGTCCCTGCGCTCTTCAGCTCAAGGCGAGCACTCTACCGCTTGAGCCACAGGGCCACTTCCGGTTTTCTAGTGGTTTATTGGAGATAAGAGTCTCACGGACTTTCCTGCCCGAGCTGGCTTTGAACTGCAATCCTCCAGATCTCAGCCTCCTGAGTGGCTAGGATTATAGGTGTGAGCCACCGGCACAGGCCTTACAGAAAATTTTTATAAAAATATCATTTCTCTATGGAATTTCACCTAAATTAAGTGGTTTTATATTAGGAATATTGAAAACATGACATCACATACAAACTCAACGATGAAGCAGACTACAAATCCTTTTTTTTTTCTTTGAAAGCAAATTACCGATGATTAGTTGACTGAAGTAGAAAATGTATGTCTGTTTTACTAATTGTTACTCAACATGTATGACCTAACATGAATAATAGCTGCAGTTCTAAAAACCCAAGAGATAACTTTTAATTACAGTAATCACAAAAATCCCAGGCTGCTCTTTTTTTTCTAAAAAATACTGCTGATTAGAGGCATGATATTCAATGATATTCAATTATTCATGGCTATGGCTAATGATTTGGTTTCATGGGCAGGAGCTTTGAAGAAGCATAGATTGCTGATGACAAGGAAACACTGAGGAAAATGTATGTACATTGAATACACTTATTCTCCATGTGGCCTGAAAAAGAACCCTATAGAAATAGGAATAATTTTCAGGTGGTTGAGATAGCAATGCTCTGTGGGTGTTGATTGGTCTTTTTCATTATATTAGAAATGACTTGGCATGTTGGGGTGCCTCACAGAAATGAAGACAAAAACTCAAAAGGAACTTGGCAAGGCAAACTTCACTTCTGTAGAAGTGAAAAATAGAAGCCAAAAATCTGACAACTGAGCATAGAGAGCAGGTAGGCTGCTCTCTTTGTATCTCTAATACAGCAATTCTTTTGCTTCTGCTTGAATTGGCCAAACTCAGGCTCATAATCTGCTCACAATTGCCTAGTTAGAAGAGGGTAGGATGTCTTAGCATTCTCTATTACTGTCTATGCTTTCTCATATTTGTAGTGCAATCAGCAAGAGCCAAGCCACTAGGCCAAAGCAGGAATTTAAAACAATTATATATGTAGTTTACAAAGGAGTTGGCATTTAACAAATTAGCTTATGAATGCAATGCATCTTGATTAAGGTCACACATTCAACAGTCTCACCCATCCCTCTCAACTCACCCTTTCCCTCACTTTTACTTAATTCAATAGGATATACATTGAATTCTTGACTGCATTGACCTGCTACTCTTTGTTTGTCTCTCCCAGTGATTCCACCCATGTCTCCTAGTGTTTAATTTGTCAGACTTTGATTGTGCATTTTTAAGGAGTTACACT